GTTATCAATTCTTCAAATATATTAATCATATTTAAAGTTAAAAGTACATTTTGTGTAATATAAAAAACGGAATATTTTGAACTAAAAGTTATATTATTTTCTTTTATAGCAAATCTGATAATCTTTTCTGTTTCAAGGCATATTTTTATCACGCTTTCTAAAGGATATGTTAAACTTCCACGATCTTTTATTTGTATAATTTTCTTTGATTTACTATTATCAATTAAGGCATTAACACAAATATCACACATGATGTATTTAATTAAATGTCTTATAATAAATCCAGCTATGTAACTTATGACTTCTATAGAATATTGATCTAAATTAATAATATTATAAATTAATGCTGAAATATAAGGATGATCGTGTTCAAGTGAAATTTGATTAATATACTTTTTAGTGTCAAATTCATAATTATCGATCATACGATCAATCATACAAGTTTTATTTATTAATTCTTCTGGTTTAAGTACACTTTCTTCCTGTCACTAACAGATTAATACGCATCAACGTCAAATAATACTACTCTCAATGTGTTAAAATAATACCACTCTCATCAAATAGATAGCAGCACTAGTGGCTCATATAAATATGGCTGAAGGTTGTTTAGAGGTCAAATCCCCCCCGCACCATGGCTTCACTCCCCGCGCCTATAATATCCCTTAAGAGGGTACTGGATACCGACTATAGAGACCTGTAAATCGACGTTTTAATATTTCGTTTTGTGCCGTATTTACTGCATCAAATCCAAAATGCTTCTATAGAAATAAGTAATTTATGCTAAGAGTTTGCTGTTGTTTTTTGGAATGTCAAAATTCAGCATAAATTTTTTCTTATACAGTTTTCTTCTATAATCTCACCATATATTCATGTATATAAAATTATTTCTAAGCTTATGTACGTATTTACACTGAACTACAGCAATACGTACGACACAAAACAATCTAATGAAACACTCAGAATATGATTTTGTTGTCTAATTGATGCACAAAAAGTAATATTGATGATGTGTATTTGATACCACATACTATCATTATGAGTGAAAAACAAGTTCAAAAAAGCATTATATACCCATTTTCAAAAGCTTTATATAGTTTTGTATATTTATTTGCTTCTGTAGAAGCGCTTTTAATGTTGTGCAGTAAATAAAATTAAAAAATAAAGAAATTTAGGTTATAAAAACGTCGGTTTACATGTCTCTGTCCAGTTTACAAGCCGGGCTCCAGTACCTTCTTAATGCTCCCTCCTTTATCTCCATGGTACCAATATATTGTTCACATGGCATGCTTTTATGGCGTGCTGACACGTGATGTTTGCTGGTTAAATGGCCAATACTTTTACGTTTTGAGAAGAAAATAGGAAGGAAGAGCAGTTACATTATCGACACGACGTAGTAGTGGACAACAGATTGCTACTAGTTAGTTCGCACGGCGCTCGTTGGCGCTACGAGCAACCGCCCCGCTTGCCCCCCGATCCCCGCGCCCATCCGCGATTTATTGACGCGTTGTGTACATAAAGCGCGGAAACGCGGAACGCGAAAATAGTAACTAGATTCCGCGTTTCCGCGAATTGAGTTTGTTTCTTCCCGCACGTTTGAGCGGAAAAGCAGAATCCGGTATTTCCGTGTGTATCAAGTACATAAGTATACAATTGTAATATTTCAAAATAATTATCAACATGTTGTTTGGATCCATGATGCACTTTTACAATAATCAAAGGAAGTAATTTAAAATAATCAGATAAAATAATAATGTAAGTTTTCTTTTTCGGCTCCAAAATTTAATAGAGCTTTTTTTTTAAATCAGCTCCAAAATTTGAGAATATACTGTATTCGCGTTAACAAGGCTTCTTGTTTTGTTTGATGGCTCTGAAAGAATCTCTGCCACATAGCCAGGAATCGCGTTGACAATATTTCGACGCTCTTGTTCCGCGGGTTTGTTTCTCCTTATATTACATGAAGCACAATTACGCGGAAAACGATATAGTGACAAATAGATATTTGTATTTATTAAAAAAAATTGATTTCTCTTAATTCACTGCAATTTTTATTAATATGCTTATTTTTTCAGTTTATCTATTAAATACAAACATTTTGATCAGTAAATATTGTTAAAATATGATATTTTGTAATTTTCCGTTACGCTTTTCCGCACAATATATGCTCCATGTAATATAAGGTAATCAAAACAGACGGAACGGAACGCGCGGAAACACAGAAATCTAGTAAAGTCTAGTTACTTTTGACTTCCGCGTTTCCGCGCTTCATGTACTGGCATTCTTAGGGCAATGTCCCATTGAGCGGAAATATATAGCGGAACGGAATGTGCGGAACCAGCTCGACCAATCATAGCCATTCCGTTTTCTTTCCTTCGCTTTTTCTGTGGTTACGATTGGTCAAGCTGGTTTTGCACATTCCGTTCCGCTATAGATTTCCGCTCAATGGGACATCGCCCTTAGGGTCTGTTTTGATTGTAATCTATCTTGTTACATAACTAAACGTGTACATGTGTTAGTTGTATACATGCACAGTTTTGCAAATGGCTTCCAACCGTAAAAACCTATTCCCTTGAGCGGATTCCCTCCCAATGAACCGTAAAAATCGAGACCACTGTTGTATCGCGGAGTTCGATCTCCTTATTCTTCGTGGTCATAGGTCATAGATAGGTTAGATCTTAGACCATATATACTTATAGACACGGCCTGTAGATATGAATCCACGAGTCGAGGTGAAGCAAAGATAATATCATCTACGTGACGTCACATGTGGGCATTTCAGCAATGGCTAAATACGGCCTCGTAGATGATATTATCTTATCTTCAAGGCAGTTATCTGAAGCCGTCTATAAACGCGCCTTTGCTTTGCCCACATGTGACGTCATGTAGATAATATTATCTTTGCTTCAAGATAGTTGTCTGAAGCCTTGTCTATATATATATGGGCTGTATTCCAAAATTCACTGCCAGCGCTAAAGATCTATAGTTTACGTCACATATATTATACAATTTTAGCACTGGCAGCAATTCTGGAACATAGCTATGGTCTAAGGGTTAGATTAGGTTAGGGTTAGGTCATAGATAGGTCATAGATAGGTTAGGTTAGGTTAGGTTAGGTAATGTAATCTCGTATTCGACTAGAGCTGTGTCCCGTTTTACGCATATGCGCGCATTAATCTATACTATACGTGACGTGTAGTATAGATAAATGCGCGCATATGCGTGAAACGGAACGCAGCCTAGTAGCAAAATATCAACTGATGTCAACCATCAGGTGTGTCAGTTGCGAATTATTTTTCGAATGACTCAAGTTTTTATTATTTATTGATGGTATATATGGTCAGTTTTATTGTTCTTTATACAAATTTATAAAAGATCATAACTGGCCTTAGAGCAAAAACTCACTTTAGAGATAAATATAAAATAAAAAGAAGGAATATTATTTATGTTTATCTTAGATATACAAATTTTGCTACTGAATGTGCAACGAAGTAAAAAAAATATTGTGACAATGAAACGTAAAGCAGAATCAAATGTGAGTACATCAGTAAGGAATGAGCATTGGTCAGCTGGCTTGCTTAAAACAATGAAGGATCCCGAAAGTAAAGTCACAGAAGACGATAAAATAGTTGTCATCACAGATAAGTATCCAAAAGCACAATTTCACTATTTGATCTTACCAAAAGATAACATTCCCTCTATATGGCATGTCAAAGGAAAACATCATGATTTGTTAATGCATATGCACAATGTAGCTTGTGGTCTTGCAGAAAAACAAGCAGAACATGAATTCATGTAAGTTGTATGTCAAAATAAGACTGGTATATTGTAGAGTAACAAATATACATGCAAAACAATAATACTGAAAAAAAGTAGATTTCATAATTGACATTATATTGTACTTTTGTTTTTTTGCAGCATAGGTTATCATGCAATACCAAGCATGCAAAGATTGCACTTACATGTAATAAGCACAGATTTTAATGGTCCTTGTCTCAAAACCAAGCATCACTGGAACTCATTTACAACTGGTTTTTTTTTGCAGTCATCAGGTTTGAATCGGTATCCTTTGCTCAAAATGTTTTTTATCTAAACAAACATTACTACATTTTTTAGATATATGCCGTCAATTGCGTGAAGGAGGCGAAATAAAAAAGATTTCTTCAGAGAGATATAAAGCCTATTTGAACACGGAACTGAAATGTCATAAATGCTCCATGTATCCAAAAAATATGCCAGAGTTAAAGAGACATTTATTAACGCATATTAAAAAATAATCAAGAAAATTGTCAAATTGTGTAAATTATTATTTCTAAAAAATAAATGTTTTTATCTGTAAAACACATCGTCGAATTAATTACAGATGGAATAAAAGGTAGATAGCAAGGTGAATTGAGAACACATGTTTATGCGATATTTCGGAAAATTTACTATAAATAAATTTGATATCCTTAATAGATCTTGATCTATTATAGTATTAATACATTTTAACTATTTACAAAGTCTTCTCGTGGATTACGCTTGTGTACAGTAATTTGTCTGTGTTTGTAAACTGTGTGTCATATGTGTGTTGTGTATCGTGTTTTATATTTAATCTGTATACATTTAGTAATACTGCAATTAATAGTTGAAGCGTTTCTGCGCGCTGTATCGAAACAGTAGGCATCTGAATATTATTCGCAAGGCCTTTGCTGTTATTGCTTGCGTATTTTCGCAGATTCCGTAAACGGTTTTGCGAGATATCTGGATCCCGAGTTTTAAGTATTTCGTCTCCTCGTCACCTTTCTTCTAGTCTATTTACGTTTATCATTTCGTCCCTTAGTGGACGTAGCGTCTCGCTGTGTCCTACGGAGACACATTCGCGAATCGACTATGATATTCTATCAGAAGGGGATGACTGTTTTTGACGCACAATCTAAAGGGCGACAGGAATCCCGAAAGAGACAGTTTTTGTAACATTTTTCTTTCACTAATTAATCCCTTTTGGAAGATCTGTGCGCCATCTCTAAAATGCGTGCATGTTCCCATCTAAAAGTTTGCAACGCCTGCATAAAACGTAGAACCTGCAAAGTTTGCTGCGATGGAAACAACGCGCGCGCGATCTATTTGCGAGTACTTCGTTTAAAAAAAAAAAAAAAAAAAAGTGTTGACGAGTAAAAGATACGGCGATTAGACTGCAGGCATACTCGTTCCTCCGAAAAAAACATTGTACGTGCAATAAATATGTATCGTATTAATCCCTATAAGTTCGAAAAAATATAACTTCACGCAATGTATAAATCAAAGTATCCGCGATACACGTACTTTTTTTCTCGGTGAAGGATTACGCTTGCAAAATCGGAGGCGCAATTCGTCCAAAATAAGACTTTAAACTAAGGAGGTAGCTCTCTCTCGCGGTCAGTTCTCACTAGAAAAAAGAAGAAAGAGAAGTCCGGCCGAAAAATACAATAAATGGTTAATCCGCTCGTTCGCCGCCTTTCGTCCGCACGCACCGTACGCGGCCCGCCAAAAGCGGTCATTTTGACAAAGCCACTGGGCAAGCGAGAACAATGCCGATCCGTAAAAGAACGAATCACCATTTTTTCGAACTTCACACGGCGCATCGCGCGCAACCATCGACTGTTTCGGTCGTTCTTCCGAATACCCTGTTTAAGTCTTCATTGTGCGAGAGAGAAAAGGATAGAAAGAATGAGAGTGAAGATTTTTGTTAGAGCAGAATCGCGAGTGAGCCGTGTCGAGTATCAACAAGAATTAAACCTAAACGTGATTTTAACCTACAAATGTTCATATAGTTCATTTTTGCCTAACTACTATTCACATTTCATAAATATTTTATATATGTATTTATAATTATGTATATTAATTTTAAATATATAGTAAATTTTTTACAAGTATTATACATATGGGGGTCGAACTACGGCTCAGTCGCAGTTATAAGCAAGTCGGATCGCGCCTCGATTTTTCTGTCCTATCAAAATCGGCAGTACGTATATATTTACATCTAAACATCTAAAAACAGCTAAGTCTAACGACAATATTTGACGTGATATAGAATATATATAATATATATATATGTACGCAGTAACACGTAGCAACAACGCAGTGGTGACAATATAATATAATATAATAATAGTTAATAGTAGTAGCGAGATAATAATATAAATAGTAAATATAGTCGCAGTGGTAATAGCGATAGTACAATATATATAACTAGTTGTAATCTTGTAATCTTTATCTACACACGAACGCTTCGGTCCTCACGTATACTTGTTTAAAAATGAAAAGAGAGAAAAACGAGAATAAATAATTCGAGGCAAGTAACGACAGTAATAAATTAACGAAAAGCGCGAGGCTGTCTAAATACATTCTAGTTTACACCAAATACTTGACTGCCGGAACAATTACACGAGCAATAATAATCGTTAATTTTGCTATAAACATTATAAATCATACTATAATAGACGTAGACAACGATAATAACTAATTGACATTAAGTTCTAAACAAATTTTGCTAGCGCCTCTTAAAGCTATCAAACGAGTCTACATTGCTATTTAGACTCTTTTTTTCTCTTTTTTTTTTAGACGAGAAGTTTATGAAGTCTATCGCGGAAAGAAGAAGAAACGGAATCATTTTCTCGTTTCCCATGTCATACCTTTTTTTCTTCTTTCTATAGAAAACAAATGTGCGGAAATTACTACAACCATCCATTTCTTTTCCTCGATATTTTTCACCTAATCACCGATCACACGCTCGAGTCCGCGAGGGCTAGATGACGAGAAATCTAATTAAATTAAACAAGAGAAAAACGCCATGGTATAAGAACAATATCTTTTCTCTACTTACGTATCTACTATATTACAAAGTAAGTGGTTTTACGCGGCCTGCTCTTCGTAGAAAACGCGCTATAATATTTACAGAAATATTTAGAAGAGGAACGATAATACGAACAAGGGAAACAACGATGAACGACAATGACAAATACTGTGTACACTGCGAAGAGAGCAAAGATCGTCCGGAACGTCGCGAGATTCCGGGAATCCTTTACAGGCAACGTAAAGCGTTTTCGTTAAAGCTGCAAGTGATTCCTATCTTCCATTGCATTTTTCATTTCTTTCTTTTTGGCTAACTTCGACTAAATTGACGTCTAACTTCGCAGCGACGTACGCTGGAGTCGCGCGCGGTTTGTAATTCCAACTAAATATTGCGTCCGGCGTTTCTGTTGCGCGTGACGTGCGAATTTTACTATTATATTTGAAGTACTATAATAGCTGCCGTGAGACGCGACCGAAGTATCTTTTAGTCGAGAGTTCTTTCCTAGACAAACGATCTTAATCGCTTTTTTTTTTTTTTTTTTTTTTATGACCGATTTGTATGAAAATTTAGTCGTGTGTTATAGATCCGGATTTACGCGTATCACAAGAATTTTAAACATCAAAAACTTGGACGCGTGAATTTTGTTTTTCTTTGCTAACAGAACGATCTCGATCTCATGCGAGCAAAGACGCTCTCATGCTCGCGTGTTACGTCACACGACAGCAAACGCTGTGAATACACACAGCCAAAGTCTTGGCTAAAAATGTCTCTAATCCTTCGTTTTTCCTTTAATTTAGAATGACTTTTTTTCCACGAACACCGCCGTGCGGTTCTCGCATGTGAATAATGCGAGTCTTTCTAAAAAAGATCGACAATAAATAGCGGACGTAAGTGATAATGGACACCGCACGGCGATGATTCGCGCAACGAAGGAGATCGCGTTTCGGAATTTTTGCCTAATAACTTTCTGCCTAAACTGTACAGAGCGCACATTTCGGCGCGCGCGCGCGCGCGCGATAAACCTAATTAATCTATCTTTTTACAATGAGCTATACGGGATGACGGAACAATCGATTCGCCATATTTTCTCGTCGGAAAATAAATAGGTTAACGATCGCCACTCGCGAATTTTACCACTTTCTCATCAGATTTGTGTCTTTTCGTGATTTCTCTCTTGAGCGTTCCGTTTTAAGGGGCGGTCGTTTCCTGCAGGCCGTAACAGAGGACTCGCGTATCCTCGATCGCTTTACACCACTCCAATGCGAATCCTTCGGAGTCTTCGAGATAGTATGTCCTGTTCGGCTGTAAAAAAAAAATAATAGAAATTTAAATATACAAGGAAAACTTTCGATAGTAATGCAATATTGAAATATATAGTTTCAATATTTTTTTTTATCAAAGTAATATAAAATTACTTTTTTTATCTTTACCGTGTGAACAAAGAAGATCTTGAAATTCTTCGGCTCGACTCTCAGCTCGGGACTCCAAGGTATCTCGCCCTTAAGCACCATGTTGACGGGATCAACGTAATATAGATGCGGTCCAGTAGTAAGCAGGAGCATCCTTCGCCTGGCAAACAGACCTTTTCTCTTGCTGACAAAGCCCTGCTTCAGTATCAGATTGTCTTCGACGAAAATGTGCCACTGATTCGTGGTGCGTTGCTTCTCCAGCCGCGCTCTAATCTGCTCCGGTGCCAAGTCGGCGACGGTGGCGCCGCCTTCGGCGTTGTTGTTGATTCGCCGTCTCATCGGCTTCTCCGCGGTCACAGTGGTCTTGCTGACGGGTTTGGTAGCAACGCGCTGTTCCGTGCCGGTAGTGGTAACTTCGTCGTCGTCATCGGTGTCTTCGCCGATGCCCAGTCCGAGGAGCCTGGTGAGCTGTTTGTCATCAAGACCGGGCTCAAGATTGTCAGGTACTCTATACTGCGATCTCAGCTCCTCATGCTCTGACGTGCCGGGCAGATAAGGATAGATTGGCGGCGGTGTTTGCTCGTGGAGGGTTTCGAAATCAACGCCCTTGAAGAAGGGATGCGCCCGTATGCTGGGATAACCGGCGCCATGCTCGTCTAGAGCGCCCAGCCGCTTCGTCGGATCCAACACAAGAAGCTGACTGACGAGCGACTTAGCCGACTCGCAAAAACCGTCCGGTATCTCATATTCGAGTTTCAGGATCTTCTGGAATATCATGTACTCGCTCCGGGAGCGGAAGGGCGGTAAACCGGCGACCATCTGATAAACTATACAGCCTAGGGCCCAAAGATCGGACGCCCTGCTAGCCGTCTTTTCGATCAGTAGCTCCGGTGACACGTACTGAGCGGTACCGACGAAAGAACCTTTGCGTTCCCTGCAGTATTGTTCCTCTTGCGCGTCTGCGTCGGGAACGGGCGTTGTTCGCACCGTCTCCGGATCGTCCTTGAGGATCTTGGCGCTGCCGAAGTCGGTGATAAGCACATGCATCTTCTCGTCTAGTAAAATGTTTTCCGGCTTGAGATCCCGATGTATAATACCGAGCCCGTGCAGGTACTCGAGACCACGCAGGATCTCGGCCGAGTAAAATTTGGTGCATTCGATGTCAAAGGAGCCCACTTTGGTGATGTAGGGCAGGAGCTCGCCGTTTTTAGCGTACGAAAGGACAAAGTAAAGTCTCTCCATGTCCTGGAAAGTGCAAAACAAACGCACAAACGAATGCTTGGCGCTTGCGAGCATGTTCAGCACTTCCTTCTCGCGTTTCACATACTCGGTCTTCTTCTCCTTGATTATATGACGTTTGTCGCACACCTTGATGGCGTACTCTTTGCTGGTATGGATATCCTTGGCAAGATAAACCTGTCGACAATCGCATTGGAGATTTGATAGTTATTGTGTCATTTATTTTTTATTTATATATAATATTAGCTATATACTTTTGTCTCAAATAATAAACAGACTAAAACTTACGGTAGAAAAACTTCCTTCGCCGATCACCTTGCCGAAGATAAAGTCCTTTGGAGTACGCTTGTGCGTCGGTGGGTTGATGGTAGTGAGAGACGGATTCGTGGTCGGTGGAACCCGGGGCGCCAAGGTATTAGGTGGCGCTACCACACCGTTGGTCACGTCATTCGTCGGTGGAGACATTTTGGACACCGGCCCCTCCACCGTTACTGCCGGCTGTGGCGAAACGGTAAGCGCCTGGTTCGCCACACGCTGCAACCAACAAGATGCATGGCTCATCAGGCGCACTGTCCGTGATCGTATGACTCCAGTCTCACGCGCGCTTTACTCTCTACAACCTTATCGACTTGTAACTTTACACTAAACATTATACGATAACAAGTTGCAAACTCGATAACTCGTGTGGAGAGTGAAAGGTCAGCGAGAGCGGAAAGCAACTTCCATTGAGCAACTTTCGATACGCCGCGATATTCGTATAAAAAAAATTGAGGTAGATTCAAACAATTCTCCGTTTTAATATCGTTTCACTGAATAAAACAAAAAAGTAATCTTTATCCGATAAATCAGCAAAATTCGCAACGTTCAGACGATCTGTCCCTTTTCGCGGACTCGTTTTGCAACAACGCCAGTACTGTCATTATCCTTTCCGCTCCGGAGACGCTCACGCGCAGAGGAGGTAGTGAGCACCAAACCTCCCGTGTCCGGCACTTTAACTCCTCTCATCCGCCAACGGTCGTCCGGTACCAGGAAATCACGTACCGGAAGCGTGACGTCACCACGACCGGCACGTGGTCACGCTGCGCGAGTCGGACGATGACGACGGAAGACAGAGACGGTCGTCGATCGTTTGCAGTTGGCAGAAACGCGTCATTCACGCGGGCACACGCGGCCCACGCGCCGCCAGAAAAGATCAAGGCTTCAAGTGGTCAAAGTCCAAAGTTTACAAGACTATAATCGCGCTTTTATAAACTGATTATTTTGTGTGTTAGTTTTGCATTTTGCCAAACTACATATATGGAAAAGTATTCTGATCAACGGTCAAACAAATCGTTTAAATTTCTTCGTATACGAAGGGCCTTAATAATGAGAATTCAGAGATTCTCTAAAAAAATGAGAGGAATTCGATTTCATTTCCGTTAACAAGAGGTTGCGATGCGAAATCGAAAAGACTAAGAACGATGAGCACAAACGTTTTTCCCTTGTTACCACGTAAGAGATTATTGTTCTAGCAACCTCGTTCTCGAGATGTAATGCGTAATCCGTTAAAAAATATGATTTTTTACCGTGCTAAACGACTAAGCGCTCTTTCACGCAAACTCCAGTTCTGCATCTCGTTGCAAAAAAAAAAGTTACCAAGGGATCGTTACTGGAGCGTAAAAGACATTATAACGCCATGCAGGTTGAGCGACAGATGTTCCATTTGGTACCTGCTCACCACTTGCAGAAGGCTAGAGTGATCATGATTAAATACTATCGCATTTAGAAAGCTATGTGAAAATTCAATGATCAAGGGGCGAGACCGAACCGCTTAACCCGGCCGAGAAAGTGTCGAAGATTTCCGTTTCGAAGGAGCATCACGATCGCGAATTCTTGCTAGATAAAGTCCCATTCGTGCGCTTCTAATCGTTCTTCATTTCCGGCTCGAAAATCGATCGAACTTTGTTCTTCCTACAGTCATTATTGCATTTCCGTCTAGAAAAAAAAGACACGAGCTTCCTGTACGAAGATCGTAACAAGTCTTCTCCGCTTTCGTAAATCAACAAAAAGTATGCAATTTTTCATCGTATCTACTTGCTTTTCCATCTTCCCCTCCGTGAACAAGATATTAAAAAATACATAAAATTTAATATTCGCACGTCCTGAAAGCTCAGATTCAAATTTAAACGGCAGTTTCTTCGATAATTCAGAACGCATGAAATTTTTATGTTAAAATCTTTTAAACTGTTTGAAAACTTGTATCTCGACTTAAAGAAAAAATTTCATTGATTGATTTCCATCGTCATTTATACTTGTCGTATAATAAGAATAAAAGCTTAGAGAGAGAGAGAGAGAGAGAGAGAGAACGTCGTAAACTTTTCCATATATTTATCTATATCATTAATCTTCAAGGATATATGTTATCAGGGTCAAATAATGACGGCATAATTACGGTTACTCTACTGGAAATTATGGCATGATGGATGACGCGAAACTGCGTGTACACGGCTGGCGTATGTTATGCGCGATTTATTGAATTTAGGTTTACGATTATTTGCGACAGCTGTTCGACAAGAAGAAATACTGTTGCAAATCTTCTCTTCAAGTTGCGACAGAGTCAACAACAACAAAAATAATATTAATAGTAACGAAGTGATATAACGAGACAAAGTGATCAACAAGAGAGTTAATCTCGACACACAGCAATGTTTTCGCAACTGTTTTTTCCAGGCCGAGCGATTATCGCGCGAGCGGCGTATTATTTTTGTGAGAATGCACAAAATATCATCGGCGACGATAAACGCAAGAGCGGTTAGTAGGTTCTTCTTATTTTACACAAGCTCGTCGTAATTTTCGGCGCGAGATAAAGTCGTCAATAAAAATAAACCATAAAACTCTCTCAACAAAAAAATATCGTAAAACCTCGGCTGGTAGATGACAAATATATCACGAAAAAAATACGATTGTGGCGTGCAGGCGAATTAAGTTTTATTACTTCATTCGGCAGATTTTATGATTTCCCGGTCACAATTGAGCAATCCGTGTTTGTTGAAAACTTAACACAAGAGGCGACGATGACCAACAACAAATATCGTATTATATCCCGGCGTGGAACTTTGCGAGAAGAAAAAAAAAAAAAAAAATTTAAATTCTCAAATACCCGAGTACTTTTTAAATAGATAAGCAATTATATATTTTAACAAAACAAATAACTAATAACAACAAAACAATACTCAGACCGATAATCATATTCCGAGCTTATATTTAAGAATATCTTAAATTCTTCATATATTTTACGGTGCTATACAACCATTTGTACAGGCTATAGAGCAACTGAAGATAAAATTAAGACGATCTTAACTACAAGATTCGTTTATAAATACATATCGACCTGAAATTGTTGTTCTTGTACGCGGCAATCTCGATCAATACAAATGTTTGAATATTGGTGATGATTGGACAGAATACGCACAGTTACAATTTTTACAAAAGCCAGAATATTACTTAATTCTCTTTTACGTGAAAAATGTTCAAAATTAGTATTTAAAAATAAATTGAAAATAAAAAATAAATCTCTGCTCGGCGTTAACATCTCTTAAAGATATTAGAGATAAAGTAAATAATGAAAAAAACACGGGAGAAGAAAACACAGGAGAAATGTCAAGAGATAAATAAATCGCGGAGCGTAAAAGAGGACAGAATTAGCGATGTGTGCAAAAAAGAAATACAATAAAAAAATATTCGGTCGCGTGTTACACACATATTATAACGATGTGAGAGAAAGGGAGAACTCGAGGGAAATGAAACGGGTGAACGATAAAACAGACTAGCAGCGAAAAGCCGTATGTATGGTAAATATCGGCAAGATAGAAGCGATAAATACGCAACGCTCCAATTTTGTGCCACCCCTTCTTGTCGCCGTCGCCGTCGCCGCCGACATCATCGTCGTCGTCGTCGTCGTCGTCGTTGTCGGCTTCGTCCATCGATCACTCTTTTACGAAAGGAGAAGAAGAAAAGAAACCGAGGTCGACGGAAAAGCGTTAGTACATTCGGGAACGTACTCGCGATTTGCTCAATGGAGAGCTAAAGACGATAAGAGTTATCGATACCACGAAAGAAATGAAAAATCTCAAAATTGTGATCAAAGAACGCGCTTATCTAAACTATCTTCAAGAACGAAGACACACTTAGGAACCATTCTATACTCTAAAAATATTTCAGTATTTCTTTACGATATCGAAAGGAATAACGAGTATCAAACTATTGAGTCCGAAGAGGATAGAGAAGTGAACTGATCGCCGAGCCGGGGGGTACGGCTATCGTCTTCGCGGAGGGCAAAAGCGCGGCGCGTTCTCCATGACGGCGGGCCCTTTTCTTTCCTCTCTTTATCTACCTTTTCTCGTTCTTCTTCCCAGGCCGGTTGGTTACAAGGCGGGCCCCACAGCGTCAACCATCCGTGTAAGGCCGTCGACCTCACCAACAAGCGCGTTCGCCCGAGAATCACCGGCCCTACTCGATATCTCTCTACAGGCGCGCGCGCGCGCTCGCGCTCGCCTTGACTCTCGCCTTGCTCCGCTAGTTTATTTGTTTGCTTATCTATTCCTCTTTGGTTCTCGTGTCTTCTTCTGTGTGTCGACGAGGACGAGCGCAACCATCGTCATCAGATATCAGACGATCCACAAAAACGTGAAGCGCTTCGATCGTCAGATATCGGAGCACAAGATAAAAACCCAGTAAAAATAATCGATAAGTGAAGCGACAGTCCGTCCATGGAATGACCCGGAAAAATTTGCTTAGATCGAAGATAGCGTGCGACCCGCGCGGAAAAGGGAAGGAGGAGAAGATGCTTTACGTTCAAGTATTTGAAAAGCAATCGGTGATATTTGAATTTCGGTCGTCAGCAAAGGCACCAAAGAGAACTTGACCTCACGGTCCCACAAAATTCGGTAACCGCTATTTATAGAACACATTCACGATAACCGTCAGCGGAAGACTCGAACCTTGAGAGAGAAACCCAAGATAATGCTTAAAAAAAAAAAAAAAAAAAAAAAAAAAAAAAAAAAAAATTTCTAAAAAGTTATCTTTTAAGTTACAATCTGTGGATTTTCTTTGGTGTCATTGACCAAAGTTCTGTACGAACGTAGTCAAAGATACTGATGACAAAAAAATAATGTTCTATTTGACAATAGTACGGTTTGAATCACATGTGTACTACTATATCCTCTTCGCGAAAATCTCGCGATGGAAAGATTGAAAACTATTCTCAGAACGCGTCTATACGCGAATCTATTTCCGGCCGACGAGAGTATAAACGGTTCGCGAAAAAGGAGCAACGTTGAAAAGAAAAGAGGAGCAGCAAAGACCTCAGCAACATCTCGAAGATCGAGCGTTTTTCTGCTGGAATATCATGCGAGTATGCGCTCGTTTTCCGCGGCGCATATCCGCCACGCGTCCTTAGGGGCCTCCTCCTCATCCCAGGACGAAATAAACTATCCGCATATCTGCTCTCGTCTCTCGTATCTCCCTCTCTCTTTCTCGCACGCTGAATCATCCCGTACACACTACCACTCTAGCATCCAGCGCGGCATTCCAACGGACATTCTAATTTTAGTTCCGCGCGCGTTCTCCCGTCTTCTCTCCGTCACCGTCTCTCTCTCTCTCTCTCTCTCTCTCTCTCTCTCTCTCTTGTGCTTTTTCTCTTTCTCCGTTTTATGGCGCTCGGTGCGCGCGGTTTTACCCTTCCTACCTCCTCGTCTCCCTTTCCCTTTTTCACCGCGAGACGCGGCGTGCGGGCGGAAGACGAAGGGAGACGAAGGAAAACGAAGGAGAGTGTGACGTTCTCTCTTTAACCATCGCCGCTGCCGTTGTTGTCTGCCTCCTTCCTTTTTCTTGCGTTTCTCTTTTTCGTGCGCGCAAACGTCGCTACTCTCGTTTTTGCCGCTCTCGCAGGTAAGGGACTACGCCTATTGGTGCAGGCGACTGGCACTTTTGCCCGTGAATGAGATGTTTTGCATTCGCAGACGCTGAGGAACGTGTCGCGAGCGAGCGCGGCTAAATTGGATCACGCGCCGCCAATGTCGGAGGTAAAAGCGTTCGTTCGACGAAGAAAGACTGAGAGGAAAACGGAATTGAATACGGTTGCTCGGCGCGACGTTTTCCTGACAGAACATAAGCCTTCTTTTGGAAAACACAGAATGAGAAGATACGGGGATCTACAGAAAATAAATACCTATAGAAAAAATTCTAATCGGAGATAGAGTATATGTTGAATCAATCTCTCTCGCTAATTAAGGTTCATTGATTACAAGTAAAAAAGAAAACGGGAGAAACTATTTGCTAGATCGTGATAAGTAAGTGAAGTTTTCCCAAGTGAGTAAAGAAAAAAAAAAGAAAAAAAGAAAAGTGCAAAGTACGTGGTGCAGCGTATGACAGCGTGAAATAATATGATATAATACACTTGTTAGATATCAGATAAAAGTGAATGACAAGTCAAAATACAAATCAGTAATATCGGCGTTCATGGAAGGAATGCGATAACGTTGCAACATTGTGTGTGGGAGATGTTTGTATCGATCGTGTTTATCAATCGCTCTGCTGATTAACGTAAAATTATTTTCTAATTCATTTTCTGCATCTACGACGTCGTTACAAATTGTTACGAAATTCTATAAAACCAAGTGTGATAAAGCGTGAAATTGGATATTAGAATATATCACAAAGTTCCTCTCCAACAAAAGCACTATGTGTGTGTGTGTGTGTGTGTGTGTGTGTGTGTGTGTGTGTGTGTGTGTGTGTATGTATGTATCCATGCATGCATTCGATTTCGGAAGCAAAGAGATTTTGACAGAGCAACAGTCGATCTGCAATAATATATTTCGACTTTGTTGCGATCTGTCTCGAGAACAGACGACGCGTAATGGTCGTCCGAAGATATCTTTCTGTTTCAAAGTTGAGAAAATACAGATAGCGTCAGAGATGTTTTTTTCGTATGGAAGTAAAAAATAAAAAAAAAATTAAAAAAAACGCACGCGGCAATAACGTTTCTATTGCTTGTGATATTACCGTTATTGCCATCAAACGTGCAACACATGTATACATACATAGACTAAATAAGATATTTACGTATTAACGGAACTGCGACATGCTATGAAAGAATAAATCCTTACAAGCATATATATATATATATATATATATTTATATTTCATTTCTAATTGCTAATTTAGTAGCGCACTTTATTACATTTTTAAAATATTTTATATAAGAAAAAAAATAACAGAGAGATAGCGAAAAATAAATAATGATTAAATAACAACACTCTCGAGCATCGTCTTATAGTTGCGCAATTATACTGAGCTGTTTTTCCGTTCGCATGCAAATCTCGAGGTGAAGGCTGTTCCGAGAGTGTTCCGCGTTACTTGCATCATAACCGAGGAAAAGTTGGGAATTATGCACCACGTACACACAAACTTTACTTCAGAGTGGGTACATTTCGCTCAACGTACAGATGATCATTCTCTCGTGTTGATATGTGCGTTATGATACATTAATGAGAGTATTATTTATTATAACATTCTAGACGCTCTCATTGTTTGTGATCGCGTCAGAGGAATACACCCAACGGAAAACTCAGAAAAATAACTGAAATCTCTTTTTACTGCTTTTGTCTTCTTTTGTTTTTTTTCGTAACGTTTGCGCGAAATAACGCATCCCGAAGATCTTCTGATGTCGCTTTGGAGACTTTTAAAAGCTTCTGTTTTTGCGTGATTATTTATCGTATAAACAACTAGCCAGAGAACAAACATGTTTTTCAGTCATCAAGTCGGGAACATCATCATTCGTTTGACATACGCTTATACAACGACATTCTTCGAAACGACGGAATCGCGCTCGATCATTCGCACTTCACGTGTCACCGCCGACGACCTTATGACACGTTTTCAATAATCTTTTGGTCTTTTCCTTCTTTTTTGTTATTTATATCCGCGCGCCGCGATAAAGGATGTTACGCGCGCCAAACAAATTTAGTTCACAATGCTCTCATTATCGAAATTCAGTCAGGTCAGCCGAAAATAGGAAGAGTCTAAATTTAGCGCAATGGTATCTGAATTTCGATTCGACAGAACATTTGCAATATTGGTAGTTAGCTGTCGTCAATAACCGTTGTTGCAAAATAAAGTAATGATCTCTTCTCGGATGTCGTGTAATTTTTTCTGATCCGCGGAGTATCGCGAGTCATACATTGTTTTCCTGTTGTGTCGCTCGCTGTTTGCTATAAAATGTCGTGTTATTCTTAGCTTACGTCACTTAAGTTGTTTACGAACGCCTGCATGGAAGATTTAATTGACGGGATTTCTAAGTAATTTTGAGGAATAATATAAATAATCCGATTAAGATAACAACAAAGAGAGAGAGAGAGAGAGGGAGAGAGAGAGAGACAGAGAGAGAGAGAGAGAGAGAGAGGGAGAGAGAGAGAGAGACAGAGAGAGAGAGAGAGAGAGAGAGCGAGAGAGAGAGAGAAGAGAAAGTAGAAAGGAGGGACAAGAGATACGCTACGGTATCCGGCGAATTTGTTTGTGAGTTCGTTTTAAAATTAACTGCGCGCAAAATGCGCGACTGTAAACAACTTTCGAGTCGAGATTACGCGCTTACGGTTTTTGAACCGACGATGGCGGCAGCGGCTGGCGAATTTATTTAAATTCGAGCGAGTGTAAATTATTCATGCCGCGAGGCAGTGTGTGTGTTAACCTCCTCCTCTCTATCTATCTTTCTCGCTTCCTTTTCTGTCCCCCGTTATTTATTTCATCAACCGTTCCCCTTCGTTCCAAAATCGAGGCGAAGTTTGCTCTTCCACGGATATTTCTCGCGAGCCTGTGATAATTCGCGCGTAAACAACAGACGACTGATGTACTTATTTGTTCATTGACATTTCGACGCAATCGCATGTGCGTATAATATTCCTAGTCGAATATAAATGGCTTTTCCAATATAAATAAGTATTCGCGACGAATAGTTTACGTAAATCGATTTCGTGACGCAACTACTTTAATTTTACGCGACGTCACTCGCGAAGCGATTTTAAATACTGATATATTCATCACGTTTGTAAGACATCACGAATTTTCCCGCCAACCTTGCGGAGAGCAGGAAATGAAAACTCTAATCTTCACTCACAGCGCGCTAACGTTGCTATTATGTTAACAGCCTTGTCATCGTTGACAGCTCTATTGCGTATGTTCCTGTATATCGCAGCAAATCAAAGAAACAGAGAGAGAGGGAAAGAGGGAGAGAGCATCTCGATTGTTACTTGCCTTATTCTTGTTTATAACATGATAATAGATTTGTAAGTATGTATCCTGAGAGTGTATCGTAGCAAGCGATATATCGCGCAATTATGGTTATGATCACAGCACACCACGCTCGTCACTCGAAAACACTCGAACTCGCACTTGTATACATATATATATATATATATATTATATTTATACACGACTAGACTCTTCCACGATATACAATAAATAAATACAGACGGCGCGAAGTACCGCATATCCCTTCAATTCCCCAAATTTGACGGGCGGAAATCGAAGACAGTGATTTATGAGACATAAAAGGCTGGCCGAAGAAGCTCAAGTGCCTTACCTTGAATAATTTCTTAAGCCTCCGGTAGCCGCGATGTAATCGCGACACGCACTGCTTGTTGGAATCCAGTTTGATTGATTAAAGCCACAGTTGCGGGAACGAAGAGAAATGACCGAAACCGAAATGATGGGAGTAAAGAAACGGATAGAACTTTTTTTGATCGCGGGAATAGATGCAATATAGACGGATAATGTATTCGAAAAGCGGATCTGTGTCGCGGTTGTTGATGTTGTACGATCTGACTACTGTTGCTGGTGATGCTGTCACGTCGTCGTGCTCGCCAATGATCACAGACTGCGTATTCGCGACGACGACAGTGTTGTTTTTCGCGGGTCAGTCTCGGATAGTACATATATATTGTCGTATATATGCATGCGCGGGAACCGAAGAACGAAAAACACATTCGTGGCTGTCGAGAGCCGTTCGCTTACTGAATCCAACGGTTGGCGTATCCCGGCTGCTAACCCGCGCTTTCTCCCCACTACGTTGTAACCAGAGTTGGCGGCAAACTTCTCCGCCGCCCCACCCGACTTCGAGCTCCGATCCCACCACTGTGCTACGGGTCCGCATCCGGGAGAGATGGTGGGGGCACACATGAGAGGGGTGACGCGCGCTATCCCCTCTATGTTTGTCCACGTCCGACGCAGTGCGCCGCCACTCCGCCGCCGTCGCCGCTGATCTTACCGCCGGATCGTAAACCACCACGCTTACCCCTGCGGTCAAGTGCGAAAATTGCAACGAAAGCACCGAGAGAAAAGCAGTTTCTCGAGATGCTCGCTGTTTCTCGCATTCCACGGATCATTTTCTTACCGCGGCGGTGAGAAAATATAAATGCATCATGCGCGTCCTCCGGCGCTCGGAGAATGTACGGAGTTTAGAAATGAAAAATTACGTGCGGAATCTCGGACAGATGAGATCAGACTCCGATGAGCAACTGCGAATTACGTTATTTCTGAGTCATATTGGAGTTTAAGTAGTTTTTGCAATTGAAATGATATTTTTGCATCATTGGTGCAAAACAACAACAGTTCGTCACCGTTAATGATCGCTCGCGACGAATTGACGTTGCGCGATCTCGGGCCAGCGCCATAGAGTATATGTGCGCGTGAGCGCGTTATAATCTCCATGGTGGGGTGCGCGACGGTTTCGCGTCCAGCTGGTGGGAGAGAAACCTTACGCATGGCGCATGTGCACCACAGTTGGGAAGAATCGCTCCCTCGCGCTTTCAGCCCCTCTATTCCCCCCTCCTTTTGCTCTTTTCTGTCCGGCAGCGCGCGGCGGCTGGTTCCTCGTCGGTGCACTCTCGCCTTGGAAGGGAGTGCACTGATCACACGCGCGGCAGTGTTTTCTCTCTCTCTCTCTCTCCTTCTCTCTCTCTCTCTCTCTCTCTCTCTCTCTTTATCTCTCTTTCCTTTTCTTGCGCTTCTTCCTTCTCTATCTCATCGACTCGATGTGTTTGTTTGTTTATAGTCGCGTTCTGGGAAATACTCGATACGAGTAACGGAGTCTCATACGCTCGCAGTGCCACGCTGCGCTGCGCCGCATTCCTATTCTGGAGTTGCATCCGGTCGGATTCCTTCGAGACTTTGAAAAGCGACCGCCTCGGTCGCCTTTACTGCGCAGTATACGGCTCGCTTTTGTGAGTTTCGGAGATCGACCTTCCCGCCCTTTTTTCTCACTACCTGAAGAATACTTTTTAACTTTTCCGAAATGACGGAAATAGATTTGAATGGCCGTAAGAATTCGAAACAACCTTAGAAAAATAAATACCGAGACATATTTGTTTGGTCGTAATAGAAACTTTGGAGAATAATACAGAAAACTATTTTTTTACCGACACAATTTATATAACAAATAAATTAATTTTTTATCTATTTTTATTTTCTGTCCACATTTCTGTCATATATACGTTATCGAATATTTTATGAATATTCTATAACTTGTACTTCATCGTCCTGTTACTACGCGATCCGCATATAATTTATTATTACATACGGGACGCAATCGATTCGCAATCGACTCGTTGATCATCGATTATGGCGTTGTTGTCCCTTCCGTAAATCTTTCTGACGCGTTGATAGATAATCGTCTCGCGGTCAAGACGACGCGAGCAAGCAGCGAGGAAACGAGCGCGACGATCATCGGACGCATTTCGGAAAAGTAGTCCACGTAATCTGAAGAATGCGCAACGTCACCGCCAGGCAATTCACAGTGTACATACGCGCAAACACGAGCGTCTATCTGCAAATCGCATGACAAATATTGTACAATGTGTAATGACGCGTAGTGCGGCGCCTCGTGACCCGTAGTACGAGGAAAAACATAAAACGTAGTACGACGCGACGCGACGCAATGATATACTGATAATTAAAAGCGATTCTACTTTTACATAGAAACTCCCGTATGTGTAAATTTTAATTTACGTCATTTTATATTACAAAAGTTTTTTTACGTACAAAGCCGATTTTCTTTTACTCGCACGGACAACGGATATTTCTTGTTTTTTTTCCACTTATATACATAGATGCAGGTTTTAGATCTGCATCTATGCAGAAGATCGTCAGCTAAGAAACGTTCACACAATAGAAATGTCAAAATCACACATTTCCATTACGTGAAAAAATAGAAAAGTTGTTCGGAACTGCTCCGACGACGCACATAACGCACAACAATATATAACGCTCTGCAATTATTCACCGTGCGGTAAGATAACGCTTTTGATTCGCGGAAGAGTCAATAAGAGCATTGCGCGAAAGATCTCGTGGACTTTGTTGCCTTTGAGTCGCGGCGCGTTGCGTAAATAAGATATCGACGTGCGAACAACAATATTATTAAATGGACCGGTCAGCGCGACTGTATTGATCGACCACGAGAGAAAACGATGACGCCGGAGGATTAATTGGCGGCCATGAAGATGAGCAACGCGTTTCAAAATGTCCCATCCGATATTTATAAAGTCTTCATGTAACTTGTGTTTGTTTTTTCTGATTATATGTAGTACAGTCAAAGTCACCTCGATAACTCGAGCCTCTATAACTCGAAAACTTCTATAAGACGAACATTTTGTTCACTTCCTTCCGCTCCGCGTAAAAGAAAACACTTTGATAAGTCAAAACCTCTACAATTCGAAGATTTCAGCTCTTCCTTTGAGATTCGAGTTATCGAGGTTCGTCTGTACGCAATAAATTGTATACACACATAAGAAATTTTCCATAAGAAATTTTCGGAAACTAAAAAAGGGCGGAAGTGAAAAAATATGAAAGTACAAAAGAAGAATAGTATCTAAAAGAATTCCTCCAGGGGTTCTACATTTTTTCACATCAGTCCCGAGACTTCTACGAAGTTTCTATTTTTCAAAGAAAATAAGACCGCACAGATAGACGATTCACAATCTCAAAAAATACTTACACTATATTATTAACACGAAGGCTAATCGAGGTAATTAGTACTGACGAGACCATTAATATGATATTAAAATGTTTTAAAAACTAGACTTTGATAAAACGAGTTATGTAAATAACACCGTGATTTCTCTCTCTCTATTTCTCTCTTTCTTTGTCCGTATATTTTAAACAGATATTGTGTTTAAGAAGAAATATATTTTTAGTAATGTAAAATATGTTTCCTCTATATATCAAAAGAGAAAATTTTATACATGTGTGGCATAAATGTCCATGTATATGGACATGGTCATATATTTATGGTTATATGCTCATCTCTTAATATATTAGACACCTTGGATGCCTCTACAAGATTATTCCGCATAATCATCGAACTTGATGCTATCGTTATGGCAAAAAATGCCGATTTGTTGTCGCAACAAGAGAGACAAAATTGATCTCGGATCAAATTAGCGCGCAAAAATAACATTTTTGCGTAATTGGCCACTGGCCTGGTTGTGTCAATGAACAGAAATCCTTGCTCCCCTTCGGACGAATCCCCCGCATCTATCTGTCGCGTCTCAATCCCACTTCTGCAATCCTTTCTCTTTCTTTCGTTCGCGACTCTCTCGCGACGAAGGCCGTAACTTTCAAATACGCGCAGCTCGCACGGTGAGAACAGTCAAATCATTGTTTGCATGATCGCGTCGTTTATTGTTCCCTACCTTGACGTAATGATGATAATGCAGGCTTTGAAATTCAAGCGCGGGATATTTTTGCACGGCGCCGAGAGCCGACCAGTTTTAAGATTGGTGACAAAAGGCAGGATTACTTTTTGACGAGATATAGGGTAACTGTCCCTATTAGTGTGCTGTTAAGCAAGCGTGCTCTCTTTTTTGAATAAATACTCAATTAACTGACTTCAAATGAGCTTGCTCAAAATTTATATCGATTCTTTAAACTCTTCTTTTGACAATAAGATTTGTATTAGCCCAAAATATTAATA